ATTTTAATTCTTTAGAACATGATTCTTTATTCAACTTCTTTATCATTTTTATAAATTGATTTTATTTTTTACAGGAAAACATGCTTTCATACTTTCTACCCCTCCTGTTCGTCTTTTTGATTTAAAAATGCAGAGAAAAAAAATACCATTGTATGCCTTTTGTAAGGTGATTGCTGAATAGTGTCACAAGAGGCCTTATAGTTTGCTAAAATCCATTTGTAGAAGAATTCATCGATCAAAGCCCAATGTGTTTCTGCATTGATTAGGATTTTTTCCAGTCTTATTCAAAACTTTTAAAATAAGAAATATCGATTAGAATAACATTAAACAAGTTAAACTCCAAGGTATGAATGATTCTTTTCATCCTTTCTCGTGCTACATAAGGAGCTAAACAAACTTTCTTAACTATCAATAGTTTATATTTCTGGACGATTTTTCTTACGTTTTACAGGCATGTCATTCGGCTATATTTACCAAATAAAAGTTGATAGGTATGTATATTTATGATTATATAAAACAATTGGCTCACGTTTGTGGTGTATAATCATGTAGAAATTGTAATATGTCTTGATTGACAATGAATTTCCAATAAATATTAAACATAAGTTCCTTTTCACTTAAATAATTCTGTCATAGTCAGTTTATTGTGTGATTATTCAACTCGTTAAAATGTCCGGTAAAATGATAAAGATTATTTATTGAATGTATGTTGTTTAACGTTCCTCTCGATTATTTTTTACTCACATGGATCAAGAAAAGGGGGTTGGCGCTAATTGAAAACAAGCATTCTGAGAGTATTGCATAAGCAATACATGTCCCCTAGCGGGTTCCCCTTTTTCTTCAGGATATCATTTTATAATGTTCAAAAGCGATGTCCAAGGTAAAACTGAAAGATTTTCAAGTTGTAAATGCCTTAAAACTAATAAAATAATCCACATTAAGACGAAAATTCAACTCATTTTTCCATCGTCTTTTCCTCGCTTCATATTTTTGTCGACAATCGGAAGTTAGCGCAGTTCGAACCCGATCTTAATTAAGCGATTATGAAAAATATTCAAAATGCCATAATTCTGTCAAAAATCAATGAAGCGAAGCGAAATTCAAACTTGATCTGTAACTCATTAAGATACACTCACATACCAAAATTCAGCTCAATATCTGCAAGCGTTTAGAAAAAAAGTGCGGAAAACCAAGTGGGACAGACAGACGGGGACAGCTAGACGGACAGACAGACAGACAGACAGACAGACGGACGGACGCAGAGGAAACCTATAGTCCCCCCAGGTTTCACCGGTAGGGGACTAATAAAGATTACTTACTTGAGAAATATTTAAGCACTGCACATTCACAAAACTATTTTTTCATTATTTTTGTTTCATTAATTTGACTCTTTTCACAAATGCATAATTTTCGACTCATGATCAAGTCATAAATTGTATGGGATGGAAAAATTAGTATTTTTACTAACATTTCTGGCAATTGCCGTTAACGAAAGTTTCGACATAAATACTTTATTTAAGTATTCTAAGATTATGCGAAAAAAAGTACAAATAATATTAATTTATGTTCCCAAAATGCCATGAAAAAAGAAAAATGTATATTGAAGGTGAGTTTTATTGGTCAAAATAAAGGTTTTGATCAATAAACAAAATTGTAGATAATATCTGTATCTAACTGATGGATATCTATAATACGTATTATGTATCACTTGTATTATTATTTTTGTTACAATTTTTGGTTTACAAAACTGATATTATTTTAGTAGCTTTTAGCCTACTTAGTTTTAATCGTTTATTGGTTATATTAAGGGGAGGCAGGACCTTTAGCTGAAAAAATACCTGTCATTTAATTTTTTCATATTTTGTATATATCTTATTTAGTATGTCCCACATACTATAAAGCAGACATATCAATAGGTTTCTAAACTTATTTCTGAGATATTGAGTGACAAATACCATATCCCATAGTGTCTGAACAGAGTTTTGATTCTCCGTGTTTCTGGGTCCATTACTCGGTCGATAATTGAATTTTTTCAGCATAGATATAAAATATGCCAGCGGAAATGTGTCTTTTAAAATATTTCAGAGTATGAATAGGGTTAAAAATTCGAAAAAGCAAGATTCTTTTGTAACACCACATCTGGAGACGAGAATTTACGAACTTTTTAAGACAACTTAAACAATAAAAAAAATTAATTTGGAAAAATCCTATCATTCAATATTTGAAAATTGACGTCGAAGTTGAAGTTCATCATTGTATTGATTAACTGTAAAAATATTGATTGGTGAAGCTGAGCTCAATATTGCATGGGGCAAAGTTAAACGAGACATGATCATGAGAAAAACGTGTCATGTTTACATTTCTCGAGTACGGGAAAAACCCAACTATGACGTCACACATTTCTGAAATAAGCGAAATAAGACATACCCATAGAACATTCCGTCAAAAACCATGTAAAAATATTTTTTGCGTTCTGAAATTCACAAAATACCCCACCATGTACAGATTTTGGCCCGTTTTTATGATTTTATACTACCCGTTTTTACCATGTATGATCTTAATGTACTAAGAGATCCACTATGACGTCAACGGCGCACTGGACGTGCAGTGTAGGGCAACGGAAGTGTGGATTAATCTATTCCGTGATTTGATAATATTTGCAAGAAATCTTAAATGTTTTCAGATATTTTTATACTAGATGGTGAACGCAAACAAACAGTTAAAAAATTATACAAGTACTGTGGTTTCAATCTCGTTTTGTACATATTTTATCAGCGATTATGACGTTATTCAACTGAGTCACATGACCATACATCCTTCGTCCCCTTAAGATACTATTTTATTATAATGCAAGGCTGGGCATACTGTAAATTCAAATATTTTCGACAGGTCTAATATTTTAGGATTGAAAGGAGACTACATGCAAAAGTTTGTGGGGATATGTTTTCGTGGTCTGAGCGGGTTAGGTAGTAATAAGTTTTTTGGGATTTAAAAACTTATAATGTGGTGAAAAATTCTCGAAACGGACATTTTATAACAAAAAATAAATAATCAAACAAACAAACCTAAGAAAAGTTAAAATTGTAGATTTATTGATACTGTTTTCCTAGGAAATTTCTAAATAATGATAAGTATGCATAATTTCTCATACGGTCAGGCGACTGGATGTTTGTTGCTTTAAATAGAAATTGTAATCTTCAAATGAGTACGAGAGAATATTTCTCGGCCCATATAGCGCAGTGATTAAAGAATAAAGAATTGATCATCGTGTCCTTGGATTGATTCCTTCTACTAGGAAAAACATCCGTATTGATTACACATTATATTAATTTAAGAGCTTCAGTCAAGTCTATGATCATTCCTACAAATTTAATTTGTATAGAAGTTATCTGCTTAGTACACGATAAGAGGTGGAAATTTTAAATTTGATGATTATTTTATTTTAAAGAAATATTTTTTGGTATTTCAGCCGATTGTGTTCCATGAAGTTGATGATATCCACACCATGCATTTGCTAAAATTCAAGTCAGTGTTCTAAACGTCATGATTATGAAGTTATACAATTCTACTGCATCATCTGTAAAATGGTCTACGTGCACAATGTAAAGAGAGCCATCTTGTCAACATCTATGCCAAACGTCGTTTAATGGTTTTGTTGGAAACACATATTGTAATCTTTTCAATGCGATGTTAAGTATGACATGTGTTTTTTGTCAAAGTGACCCAGTATACTACTGCAACACTTGTAAACATGATCTGTGCTTTCTCTGTAAATTAAATCATGATTTTTATGTTAGGCCTTATTTTCATGATGTTTTTAAATATCCCGATAGCAATTATTGCACCATGCACTCGGCAAAAATCAGCACCCAGTGTAAAATATCAACGTGTCCTCAGTGTCAAGGGGAGACAGAATTCTACTGCAAGACCTGCAAGATTCATATGTGTCTTACCTGTAAAGAGATGCATATGTTTGATTTAAATACCACATTCCATGATATTGTGTTTTACCGTGAAAAAATAAAGTCATCATAAAGCAAGAGGCGTGTGTAAAACATCCAGACATGAAGTATGAAATGTTTTGTCTCTCATGTAAACTACCGGTCTGCTTTCAATGTAAAACAAAAAGAAAACACAAAATCATAGACATTAGAACATTATATCAAGCAAAGCATCGAGAACACAAGGATATCTTTCAGAACATCAGAAGCACAGCTCTTTTTAACAGCCGTTTTCTTCTAGCAGGAATTAAATCTGATATAAATACTTTCCATAAAGAAATTTCTTATTGTCATTCAATGACGTCGGCAAAAGCACGGACACTAATGAACCTCACTGACAAAGTGGTTACTGAGGTTCTACAGTTTTTGACTAATAGATTACCAAAGCAGGAGAAAAAAATGAAAAGACAAATTGTCAGCACGGAAAAACTTGAAAAACTATTTGAACATTTAGCTAATAGGTCTGTACAATTTTTATTATTCTTTAAGAATGTTCGCGTCTCTAGGTTGAAGTACATTCCAAATCTTACTGAACATGTACGACTTTTTATGAGAGAAGGAATCAATACAGAACATGTGATTAAATTGAGCGAAATCCGAATAACAGAGACAAGAAAACGACAGGTTAAAAATGAATGTCTGTTGAAACTGATGCTTACACCTGTCTTATACGTAGCGGTCAGAGTGACGGGAGTTCGGGGCGTAATGCATATTTCTATTGTGACTTCAGACCAGGTATGGATCAGTGATGTTTACAATAATCTCATTTTGATTAACAGAAAAGGTACAATACTTCATCATCTGGAAGATATAGAGAGTTATTACAGAGGAGTACACGCAGTAAACAGTGCGCGCAATCTTTTTTACATAGACAGAAATAATAATGTTAACAAGCTGTCCGAAGACAATGAAGAGCGATCTACACTATTAATGGAAATAGGGACATGGGAACCACGTTGTATCTATTGCTCTTCCTCCACTGATAATATACTGGTTGGGATGTACAACACTAATACTAATAGGGGCAAGGTAACACGTTATAATGATGGTGGAAAACACATACAGACAATACAACACAGCAACACAGGTCTTGAACTTTATGGTATGCCTATTTTTATCACAGATAACAACAATGAAGATGTTATTGTGTCTGACTCGCTTCGCGGAGTAGTGGTAACAAATCGCGGTGGAATTCATCGTTTCTCTTATACAGGCCCTTCATCAGGAGTACGCTTTTTGCCGTATGGAATCTGTACAGATGCACTTGCACACATCCTGGTGTGCGACCTTTACAGCAACACGGTACATATGATTGATAAAGAAGGCAATTTCTTGTCAAAGATTCTGACGAAACAAAATGGGATAAGTAGGCCACGGAGTTTGAGTTATGATTTTAAAACCCATCTTTTATGGGTTGGATCGTGGGACGATAATGTTGTGCGTATATACAGATATATAAAGAGGCAGGACTTACCGATATTAAATTGCAATTAGTTCAGTTTATATTTGAACAAAAAGGACTATGAAAAAGGTCATACTAATAAGTAAAAATGTATATTATAGTCCATTATATAGTATATACCAACTTTTATTTGCAATGACTTAATTTCTCAATTTACAGGGGGAAACTACTTCACGACGATTAATTTTCGTTCACGTCATTTTTGATTTTTTGGTAAAGGAGAAAGAGATTTTTAGGACCGGTTCGTGGCAACACATATTCGCGATGACGAGGCTCTCGCCAACCCCGCTCCCGAAAATTTCTTGCATGCGAATTAAATATAAAGTTATCGCGATTTTAAATCAGAAATAAGACAGTAAGTAAATTGTACATACGAGGAGTGATCAAAGAGTTTTACTGACTATTTTTATTTGTATAAAATAATATATTTGATTAGAATAAAATTTGGTACAAATATAGCTATACACAAGTTCTTTAAACTACATATACTGAATAATGTTTTCCTTCGTGTTTGTGACGTCACATTGTGAAAATATGTGTATATGACTTGTGAAAAAAAAATGGTTGACGCGGTGGAACATATGTACTCGTTCAAGGAACGGTTGTAAAGTTTAAGGTATATCTTGGACATGTCTTTTCAGTGGCGTATAATAATGTGTACACAAGAGACTTCCTAGAAATTTAATTAATGATTGAATTTGTTTTGGTAGAAGGAAGGGGGTACTTAAAAATGATATATGATTGTTCCATTCCAAGTGAAAGCAAGTTTGAAAAAGAGAGGTGCTGTCTTATAAAAGTTCTCCAATTAACTAACAGAAAATAGTTAAACATCTAACAATATTATAATTCTAAACACATTGGATATGATAAAAATGAGGCATCCATTCTGTATTAACCTTGAATAAACGACTTTTCCGAGACAGAGTATTTGGGTTTTGATGGTCACCATGCTCATTCTGGGAAAAGTAATTCTTATTTACCCATTCTGTGTTCGAGATCTGACGAATGAACTGTAAAATTTACTTGCATGGAAAAAAAATACATGTATAAGACTCAGAAAATCTGTTAAGCTTTTGTGAAGAAACGCTACGGAGCCGGCCATATCACGTGATTCGCGCATGGGTAGAATGGTGGCAGATGTGCGTTAAAATCGGAGTTCGAGATACGGTACCGAAGTTCAACTGTTATTCATAATAGAAGATAGTTAGATAGATATTTAGATAGATATTTATTTGGTATACTACACATACGTTGCAATATTCACAATATAATTTGATATATATATATATATATATATATATATATATATATATATATATATATATATATATATATATATATATATATATATAAAGATGGCATTAAACAATATAATGAATATAAATTAAGAAGTCAGGTGTACTAAAATTGGGTCAGCTTCGGTAATAACTATAGAGTCATTGTACGATAAAATGACCAATTCAGAGAATAATATAGCAAGAAAATAAAAATGTTTCAAATAGCCAGTTGAACAATATGATTCATTATTGAACAAATCAATGCACTTGGAAAAAAATATTCACAAATCTGGAATCTTTAACTTTTTATACAAACAATTAAAATACACCACTGGTTTTAAGATGATGTTACGGAAGTTACTGCTTTAACATGCCTTATTATTTCATTGTTATTATAAGTGTACTCGATCAACTTTACTTAATTCTTTTTTATGTTTATAAGAAACGCTAAAGTATGATTTTTTTTTAATTTTGCATAATTTCGACTTTAAGCTATATTTTGGAGAAATATCGCCATGGACGTTAATGGTTATGGCACTTAATCTTCAGTTAAAAAAAGTTGAAATTCTCAACATAAGAAAAAAAAAATTACGTTTATTTTCAAGATGTTTATCAAAAGTATGAAGTATTTCGCTCACTAAATAATTAGAATTTTTATACCTTTCAAAAGCAGTTATAGTTATGAATTATCATTACAGAAGTGGATCTTTAAGAGAGATAATTGGTTTTGACTTCAATTTGTTATGTCGAAAATGTAATTTGTAAAAGTATCTGACTCTCAACTAGAATCGATATTACGTTACATGGTCACCTTCAGATATGTTTCAATTCTTTGTATTTATATTTAAAGCACTACATAATATGTAGCTCAAAAAATTATTAATCTTGGAATCAAGCCAATTCACCGAACTTTTTTTTTTCTTGAATGGAGGTAGCTAGTAAAAAAAAATTCAAATGACCCTAACAAATTTTGGTAAGCCAGGAAAATGGAAATTATCGAAATTTTCAATGAGAAATTTTAACAACTTCAGTAACTGTAGCAAAAAGTTTGAAGGGGGGGGGGGGTAACCCGACTTTCAATGAACAATTTCCATAGCAAAAAAACTCAGTCTGTAAAAGTTTTACATATTAAGTGCCATAAAACTTGTTGGCTGCTTTCAGAACAAACAACTGTAGGTGAAATATGGTTAAAATTATGGGAGAGCCATTTTTTTGCATTTCTGTTGTTGACAAATCTTACGAGTACTGCTTAGTAGTAACATTTCTTAAAAATATATCGTGCAAAAAATTAGGTCTCGATACTCTGTCTTTACAAAATAATTCATGATCAGGAAACCCTAAAAACTATTGTTTTGCCTGTTTAAACCTAGGAAAATTGTTACATTCCACTAGCTGTTTTATCTGTGCTTTTATTAATGCGAAATGTATGACAAATCAGGATTTCTGAAAAGCCAAACTTGTCTAAATTAATATTGAAGTCATGTGATATTATAATATCTTCTTGAAAATTCATTTGTAAAGTGCCTAAATTTTGACACACAAATATTCCGCTGATTTCATTAAAATATATCTAAACATCGCTGCATTCTGTACATGGATATCAGAACTTAAAACGCACAACTATGAAATGAATTAATTTCTTGCGTTTATTTATTTTCTATAAAGATATAAGACATCAACTGTATTGACATATTTCCTGATGAACATTTTTGTTTTTGAAAGATGCTTATAATTATAATGCTAGATGTAAGTCTAATATTAAATTATATATATGATATTATGATTATATTATGATATTTACGTTATTATTTTAAAATACGTAAGATAGTAATATAATATATGAATCCACCAAAACATTTGGAACTCAGAGGAGAAGACTTTCAAAGACGATTCATTGCATTTCATAATATAAAAATGCTAACATAATAATCATTCATTTATGTAGAAAGCCCATTAACTAAATCATGATGCGGAGTTTGATCCGCAAAAAATGCTTTAGTTTTCTCCCTATTATTTTCACGAGTTCTTTATAATGCGAGTAAGATTTTCCCAGAATTCCTCCTACAGGGACGAATCTCCCGGTGGATAGTCAAGAAAATAATTTTCCTCGATAAAATCTTTTATAGCTGTGTCATAGCCCCCTTCAAACAAATCAGGCATCAGAATAAGCCGGACATATTAAAGGGATCCTCTTTCTTTAAAACATTCTATTTTCGCCATATTTAATTCACGCTTTTGACACCACGCAGATAGTTCTTTCACTCCTCCCGATTGTTTTACTGATGTTATCAATTTTAAAATAACCTATTTCGAAGTGAATATCACGGATTAATAACCTCAAACCTTTTGCCTCCAACTTTGGTTTCATTTTCTGGAATACGAATCTCCTATTCTCGCCTACATAGGATATAAATGCATGGTAAAAATATTGCTGTTGTCTTCACGTCTTTCCATATTGTTTTTCAAAGCTTTCATCAGCTATTGAACTCAGCAAATCAGGTTCTGTAAGCAGATTAGAAAGCTCCTCTTCTTTTATGGTTGAGGTTAAGCCGTCATTATGTCGTTTACTTTTATGCAGGAAATACCTTATGTGCCAGATATTTTTCCGAATAATTATCACAAGTATGACACCTGTTATGAGAGTATTCAGGACAGTTGTTGTACTTATCCAAACGTCATAATTCATGCAGTCAAGCTGGAGTTTTTGGAGAGATTGTTCCATGTAATGAAAGTTGAAATGATCACTGCGATCAGAACAAGAATACTTTTGAAAATTTAAGAAATGCATTCTGTTTTCATACAACCATGTCAAGAATTCTAGATTTTGGCATCTGAAATACAAGTTGTTCCTCAGTAAAGTTATCAATAATTTTGAATTTTTGAAGATATGGGAAAATGCTAACATTGTTTCATTTGTAAATCCCGTTAATCTGTTATCGGAGAGATCGATATAAGAGAGGTTAGTCATGTGACGAATTCTGCAGTTAACTCCGGTCAATTTATTGTGATTTAGTTTTAGTATTCTTAATTTTACCATGTTTTGAAAAGTACAGATTGGTAGATGAACAAGTCTGTTGTTTGATAGATCAAATTCTTCAAGTAATCGCTGATATTTAAATAATAGACATCTTCTGTCCATTTGAATCGGTCGAGAAAAAAAGTTTCTTGCAATGTTTAAGTATTTTAATCCTGTACCGCTTGCAGTAAAACGGGGAGATATTCTGAAACAGAAAATTACCTGATAAATCTAAATTCTCGACAACATCAAACCCAAACACAGGTTGATCCCAGGAAAAGAATAAATTATTCTGTACGTAGACGTTTCTCAATTTCGTTGCATTCGAGGTTAGTTTGGGAATCCCTCCATATAATTTGCTTGAATTAGCATAAAAAGTTTTAAGATTTAGAGGGAGGTAAATCGTTATGTTGGTCGAAAGTCTTTTTCTCTGAACGTTTAAATATTCCTGGTATTTCTTTTTACTAGATTTAACAGATATTTCAAAATCTTTCCTTTCGTTGCATTCCTCGAAAACTTCCGGAAAAAAAAAATGGTTTCTATTCTAGTGTCATGTTGTATTCCCTCAAGTTACGTAGAGAAAAGAATTCAAATAGATATATTACTGTTGTGAGTCGGTTTAGAGCAAAGGATAGTTTTTCTAATGTTGAAGGCCTATTTGGCAAAATACCTTTTCCTATTAACTCCATCCTATTTTGTGCAAAAGAGGCTTCAACAAGTTTTGTATACCGCAAATTCT